GTGCGACGGCTCCAGTGGGTGAGTGGAAAGGGGAGGGGTCTGACAATCGTCTCAGGTTGGATCTGAGATCACTTTTTGTAGCTAAATGGACTTTTGCGAGTTGTTACCACGGTACAACACTGTTCCATCATCAAAATCAGAGCTGGAGTTTTTAGCTTCATCCATGCTAGTATCTGCAAAAGTTTACTCTCTTGTGCTTCTATCAGAAAACTTTCAATACTGAATATCTCCAATTTGTTACGACATACCGACCTGCCTTTTCAAAAATATGTATGTGAAATATCATTAGTCATTACCTACACCTTATTACATTTGTTGAAAATCACTTGTGTTTAGAGTTTTATGTCGGCATTTTGTCTTTTTGTTCTTAAACATGGACTCCCAAAGAAAGTGAGTAAGTAATCTTTATTTATATACCGCCTTTCACAGACCAGAGTCACAAAGGGGTTTACAATTGTTATTTTTGGGCACTTGTCCTCTCACTCCACAGAGATGGGAGCAGGGTCGCCAGTACAGGAGGCGCATGCCAGACCTATTGTACATGTTTTTAGTGGTAGGGGAAACCAGAGTACCTGGAGGAAACCTACAGACACACGGGGAGAACATGCAAACTGGTCCGGCCGGGATTCGAACCCAGGACCTTCTTGCTGAGAGGCGAGAGTGCTTTCTACTCAGCCACCGTGCCGCCCGATCAAGTAAATGAGTGGATGGCATTCATACTTCAGGAAGGTTGTGGGTTCGACTGTGTGTTGCATTTTTCTACCCGTGTCTAGGTGGGTTTCCTTCAAGAGCTCTCCAACCAAACGAAACATGCATCTTAGGTACAATCCTCCAGTTCCGCTCCTGACCATAGACTGTATACAGATGGACAATGCTAACCCACTAACAGTTAGTAACTCACAACAGTTTTTACAAAGCATAAGAAGTCACTAAAAAAACAAATTCAGTTCAAAGGGATTGTCAAACTGTTCTGACATGTTCTGGTCCTGTCTCTGCTTATAAGTCTAGTAACTAACACTTATTACTCAAACATTATGACTATAAATGTAAAAATTCGGCTAATGTAATCACATAATCTTGCATTCACAACTGGGACAGTGAATGAGGGGGATTTTGGACTTCAGTCACGCGTAGTCAGAGTAGTAAAGACATTCTACAACGTGTATGGACATTTATCAACATTCTTGGACATTGGTCTCTCCATATAAACCAATAAATATGTGTTCTATATATTTTTTGTCTGAACTGTTGATTCTCTGATCTGTGTTGGTGATTTCAATGGTTTTGTTAAGACCTTTGAGATAACTACTGTTGTGATTGAGGGCTATAGAAGAATGAAGTGTATTGTATTGTATTGTCTTTATTGGTGCAGAGGGGTGTCAGAACCATAAGAAGCCACAGATGCACAGTGATGCATCTCCATCTGCGAGGACGGAGTGAAGATGAGAGCCACCGAGGCCTTGGAGGTGGAAACCGGAAGTTCTATCAGACTCCGGATGTCGGGACCAAACAGCCACTCCTCGAGCGCTGAGGGGCCAGGCCACAGATGTCTGGTCCCCAACTTTGTGGCACACATAGTCCACCCACAACCTATGGCAGGGGTGTCCAAACTTTATAGAAATAGGGCCACTGCAGTTGACCTGACTTGTCCAGGGCCTGACAACACAGGTAACAGCTTTGACTGGATCAGGCTGTTTTGAGCTTTAAAAGGAGGAATCATTTGACAGACGACACCACAGCTACAACGTCACACATGAGATTTTGGAAGTCAGAAACAAATGTCCGCACACACAAATAAAATTCCAAAGTTTGGCTATAAGAGTGGAGCTGAAGTTAGAAGACACTGTGAACTCGTGTTTATGATCTTAACGGCTAATTTGGGTTAGCAAGGCAGAGGACCACATGACATTACAAAGAGGGCCGCGATTAGCACCCGGGCCTTAATTTGGACATACTTGACTCACGGGGAATGACTGTGACATGGGGCAGAAAAGTGTTTCTCAGCTCCGTTATTTCACCAGTCGTCTGCTCGGTGCTGATCCAAACTCAGATATGGATCCACCAACGAACACCATCTCAATCTCACCTTCTTTTGAGTGTTCCTCCTTTCTTCTCCCTTCTGTCGCTCTTCTCTGACCCCGCTCTCCGTCCTCTCACCCATGACTCCCTCCTTCCCATCTCCCATCCCGGCACCCCCCCACCTCTCCCCTTTTCTCAACCCTCCTCTCGCGTCTCCCCTCCACACTGCACGTTTCATTCTGCTACTGAGCTGAAGTGTCTGGAACAAATGATCTCCGGTGATGAGGACTCACAAAGCGTGGCTGAGACGTGGTGCTTTGAGTGCGACGTGATGTGGGGATGATAGTCCTTCTAATGGAGAGGAGCCAACAAGTGTCTATCAAGGACGGGCGCCAGATACAGGTAGTCAATTAGATCAAGAGGTGCGTTCGTTTTTCTTTGCGTATGTTATTTATACTTAATATTTTGTGTTTTGATTAGAATATCAGCATCAGCGACACAAAGGGCTGTGACGTCACCACACAGGGCTGTGGAACCAGTCGGGAGGATACAAGACCGGACCATATCATGGCTCGGTCTTGTATCCTACCGACTGCTTCATTGTCAGTATGTAGCAGTAATGATCGACCAAACCTGCGTGAATCCCTTTGAAACAACTTCAGTGGTAAAAGGTAATGGCAAAACAATTAAACCACATTTAAATCTTTAGAAAAGTCATGTGAACTACAATATTATTTATCAATGCTTTTCAGACCTGCGTCTGCAGGGATGCCCTACCGACTTAATCCACATTTTTTAATCATTATTATGATGCCAGGAGTTCACACATTATGCATTTAGATAAAAAACGGGCGTTGCATCATCTTAACATGAAGTCCAGTACAACTGAATATTCTCCACTAACCAACAGCATGAGCTTTAACTTGTTTGTTGACACAACAGTGCAGAGCCCACTGTCAAATCAATTCCGATTAATCAACCCGTCGCACAGAAGCATGACAGACAAACTATTCACTGGGAGATAGTTTGCTGCTCTTCGGAGCAGAAAACTACTCAGAGCTATTTGACAGTGGCAGATACTTTCCTCGCTTAGTAAAGCCTGCAAGCGTCAGGGTTGGCGTCCCTTCACAGCGTCTAGCTTTTCTTGGAAAGTTTGTCTTGAGAATCCTTTACATTGACTTGTCGGCTCTGCACAGCTTTGTATAGGTCTGGATCTCGCTGTCGCATATCCAATCAAAAGACACACACACTCTGACTTTGTACACCTGCTCACCTGCCCATATAAATACTGGCCCCAGGGAAGCCAACTTGACGCTGATTGGTTAATCTCACAGGTTTGTTTTAATTCACTTTAAACCACCATGGGCCAGCACTGTTGCATGTGAAGGCCGAACGACAGATTGCAGACCCTGGAAACAGAAGTCACACCTGATGACTGAATAATGATTGGATAAATGTCTCCCCTTTCTTTTTCTTTGGCTGGAAGCTGCACATCCAACTTAAGGAAACCATAAACTGAATATTATAAACTTATATTTGTTAAAGAAATACATTCCTGATTATGTTTAGGCCAGCAGAGAAGTACTTGCTGGGTCTTGAGAGGGTCAACCACTGCTTTTTTCTTGAAGAGGTACATTTTTTTTCTGGCCAACACTGGCAGAGAGCTACTCCTTTAGTATGTTTACAAGTAGTTAAAATACATTTTGTCATATTTCCTGCACACCCCACTTCAGCTGTAGGCACCGTCAATTCTATGTAACTGTTAAAATGTATCAAAATGTGGTTTTATAGTGTTATACCCATAAAAGATGTTACCATAATCATTTTTATGTTTACTCACACATTTATCCTATTTATGTTTTAGACAGTAGTATTTAGAGTTTCCGACAACTATTCTCAATAATTTGAGATTTAGATTATAATGTAAAATAATGGAACAATTCTGATTTGACAGGAGGTTTTCTTGTGGCGTAAGTGCAAGCCGTGACTCTTGGGGAACTCTTTCCCCCGACTCCCCCACAGACCTCACGACACCGCATGAGGCAGGCACAATCAACGGGACGGCCGCTAACGTGCTAACGCGCTAACCAGACCATAGACAGTGCAATCACGGAGGCCCACGGCGGGCTGTGGAGGGCAGGAGCAGCGGCGTGATTTCAGACTCAAAACCTAAGTCAGTCTGAGAAGAGAAAAAACGCAGGGAGCAGGCAGCGTGGGCTCAAAGTGTGATTTTAGAAAGTGTGCATTCATGGAGTGTTTCATGAGGCGCAGGTTTGGCCAAGAACTGTGGGGGATTGGGTGAGCTGGAGATCAGATACAAAAAAATCAGATAAATCTTCTGACAGTTAGCAATCTGATAGAACATGGGTTTTGATAAAACTAGGCCAGGATTTATTTTATTTTTTTTTTGCCATTCACCCTATATTGTTCTCTCCTTGATCAAAGTCATGTAATTTTTTTCTTTTTTTTTAATTAGAAGTAGCACTACACAAAATACAAAATATTTGTTTTAAGTTGTTTTTACCTTATTTATTCTAGACCAGTGTTTTTCAACCTTTTTTTGGGCCAAGGCACACTTTTTTCATAGACAAAATCTCACGGCACACCACCAGGAGAAAATGTGAAAATATATACTCTGTAGCTTATACACAATATAAGTCATTCTCATCAAAGTGCTTAAAGTAAACATCCAGGCCTTGACATTAAGCTTTATTTAATATTTCTCAATACAACGAGTTAACAAGAGTTTGGGAGTAAGTGGTACTAATTGTGTGAAAAACAACCATTAAAAAATCTTCTCTCAGCTGTCCGCACGGGCCATGGTTCTGTCCACGAGTCCACGGTTCTGTCCACGAGTCCACGGTTCTGTCCCACGAGTCCACGGTTCTGTCCACGAGTCCTGGTTCTGTCCACGAGTCCATGATTCTGTCCACGATGTCCATGGTTCTGTCTGCGCGTCTAAGGTTCTGTTCGGCGCGTCCATGGTTCGGTCCACGAGTCCCACGGTTCTGTCCACGAGTCCCACGGTTCTGTCCACGGAGTCACGGTTCTGTCCACGAGTCCACGGTTCTGTCCACGAGTCCACGGTTTCTGTCCACGAGTCCACGGTTCTGTCAACGAGTCCACGGTTCTGTCCACGAGTCCACGATTCTGTCCACGAGTCCACGATTCTGTCCACGAGTCCACGGTTCTGTCCACGAGTCCACGGTTTCTCTGTCCACGAGTCCACGATTCTGTCCAGACAGTTGTCATGAAGGGGATTCTGTCCACAAGTCCATGGTTCTGTCTGCGGTCTAAGGTTCTGTTCTGCGCGTCCATGGTTCGGTCCACGCGTCTAAAGTCCGTGCTCAGTACCATGTTACGGATGTGCATTCACTGAGCTGTTGTAAAAGCAGCTATCAGTACAAAGCGGCCACAGCTGCCCCGGGGTCAGAGCGAAGGATGGTGATTCCTGTTCAGAAATTGCATAATTCCTTTTCAAAAATGTGTCTCATCACTTTCGCTTCTCGCTCCCTGTTCTACTTGTTGGTCGCGTCCAATTCTTACGTTTCGCGGCCACATGCTCCCCGCTAACTTGTTACATTTGGTGGTTGCATCCAATGCTTACGTTTCAAGGTACTGAACTATCTGCTGCCACCTACTGACACATGAAAAAGTGTTACGTGGTTACGCCACATCAAATTAACCCCATCAACTCACCCCCCTTTCCCCCCCCTTCCCTCCCACTATACACAACTTTCCTATATATAAACATCACACCCCCCTCTCCACCCAACCTCTCTCCTAAAACCCACTCCCTAAAACATAAAACCTAAAACCCCTTCAAAACAAACACACCATACTACCAACAATTACTACCCCATAATTCCAACATACAAACAAATAACTAAATTCATTCAAATAACATCATATTCCCCATCCCCAAACACCTTTTCAACCACCCTCACCCCATCCCACAAACACACACACACCCCATATATAACAACTAACCAACCACACCCCCCATAAATTAACCCCCACAATAAAACCATACAAACCACCAACTCACCTCAAAAACCTCCTCCTATCCCCCCTCTCTTCCCCCCCATCCCCCCAACACCCCACATCTCACCACTCACCCCACTCAATCCACTCTATCAAAAACAACCAAATCCCCCCCAACATCCCCCCCTCCCTAAACTACCAAAAAACCTTCCCAAAAACAAACAAAAACCCAATCATTCTCCCAAACCAATACAAAAAACCCCTCCACACCAAAATACAATATACAAAACCCCACAAAAAAAACCTTCCCTCATATCAACCAAACCTCACCCAAATACCCAAAATCTCACCAAAAAAACCAAAAACCACCAAAAATCAATCCCCCCCCCCACCACCCATCCACAACCCTTACCCTACATAAAATCCCAAAAAACAATTAAAAAATTCATTTCCTATATAAAACCACACATACTCTATACCAAATAATCACCCCTTAAAAACTCTACCCCCATCACCCATCCCCTCTCTATCTTTACAACCTCACACATTTAAACAAAAAACTTTCCCCACCAATCCTCCAATCCACCACCTACCATATATTATTCTCCCCATCCATCCCCCTCCTATCTTCATTCCAACATGACTTGCACCTCCTTTTCTTCCCATAACTATCATATAATTTCATTAGTCCCCCATTTCGTTTCATATTCCTAAACAAAACTTCTTGTTACCAACAATCTTCATTCATTTAACCCACTCCTTCATCCTCCCCATCAACCTGCCCCTCAACTTCCCAGTATCTAAAATAAAAAAAATAAATAAAAATCTTACCTTAATCTCTAACCCTCAAACTTACCAATATACTTCCCCCTTAAACTGACCCCTGCAACATACCACTCAACCTCCCCTCACCTCACCTTTCTACCTACCCGCAACCCCCATACCCCTATCCAAAACCCCACAACCCCCCCCACCCACACATCAATTATACATAAACAAATGAAAACCGTATACGCACCCACTACCCCCGCTATATAACCTGTAGCATCAAGTCTGCTATCCAATAAAAGCATGTTTTATCGCTCACACAATCTCGTTACCCCTCTCCAACCCACAAAGTTCGTTTATGGGATAGGTGATGAGCATACTACCACCATATATCATCTCCAATTCCCTCTGACAATAGTAGCAAACACACTCATAACATCACCTCCGTTTAAGATAATGCGTCTCGCTTTACCAAAACCGTTGCCTAAGCGCACAAAAATTAGTATACTGCTCTCACACACCCTACACATACGTCCCTCTATTTTGTTATTCACGATGAAAACAGACCCAATAACTAAACATCAATAAATGGACGCAGGTCCAAAAAGCTCCAACCCACCCCCCCCCCCCACCACCCCCCCCCCCCCCCCCCCCCCCCACCCCCTCCCCCCCCCCCTTCAAGCTTGTGAATGTGTGTGCGACACTATTTAACATGAGTAGTTCTCCTTAATAGGTTCTTTATTGGTATTAAAGATGGAAAAGGCTCTGTGACATTTTTGGAATCTTGGGTCTGAATCCTGGGATCTTAATCTTTGTCTGAATCTTGGTCTGAATCTTGGGGTCTGAATCTTGGTCCGAATCATGGTCGAATCTTGTTCCAAATCTGGTCGAATCCTGGTCCGAATCTTGGTCTGAATCTTGGTCTGCATTTCGTATTGTCCGCAGAAATTTTCGCGTTTTCGGCCACAAGCCGCCCAGGGTCTCCATCACAGCACTAAACCAGTCATCCCATGCTTAGCTTCAGAGGTTTGCAGCCTCTGGCTTTTGCATTAGTGCGCCACAACGTTTACTATGCTCAATTCGTTAGTTTTCCCCTGAAAAAGAGAACAGAGAGCTGAAGACCCATCACTCTCAGTTCTTGGATCAGTTTATCTAAAAACCCATGTGAGCAACAAAAGTTACACTCTACGGTAGATGAAAACACACTGTCCCATCAAATAAAACAAATAAATAATTGCAATACATACTTTGTCGTGAAGAGTCAATTGAGGGAGGGGTGTGCAATGCAAAAAGTGATGAAAAGTAAAAACTTGCTCAAATTTGACAAATGTATCTTAATTTAAGCCTCATTCTGTTTGCATTAAAAAAGATTTGAAAATGACACAATGAGCAACAATGGATATTGCTTTTAACAAATACAAGAAATGTCTCCATCTTTTTTGAATGAGGAAAATAAGGAAAAGTTCTTGAAAACGACTAAAGGCTTTGTCAGAATGTGTTCAAATTAAGATAAAGCACTCGAATCAGTATGATCTATTATCTCATATTTTATAATTTTTAGCGTGTGGTCCTTCTCTTTTTTCACTTTCTGTTCTGAAAAAGCTGAGCTAATGATGAAATACCTGAAAACAAGGGAGTAGAACCAACCCGTTTTGAGAGTAAGGAACTAGTTACACACGTTTATAGATAGATTAAATAAGTTCAAATTGATACTTTATTAATCCCTGTGGGAGAAATTCAGTTGTCCAGCAGCAGAAACAAATCATCCATACAAACAAAAAAATACATAATTCAACAGTTACTAACAAAAATTACTCAGTATGAGAAGAAATCCATATGGGAAAACGGAAAACAGAAAAAGTTCTTGGGGAAAAGGCACTCGCAGATAGTCTCTTGGTTTGATTATAATAAACGACCCTGCTTAAGATACAAGGCTATTCTGTTGCCGGTTTTGTTCCGTGTTTTGAGCGAAGCAGGTGTGAAACCAAAGATGGACTTCTCACACAACCCCCAAAAACCCACCCACCCCCCCCCCCCCCCCCACCCCTCGCCCTGACGGCAGCCCGGTCGCCTACTTAACGGTGAGGACATGGGAGACGAGAAGCAATCTGATTCTGAAACGTGCGGATTATTATATCGGATTTGATAATGCCAGTCTGAGCGCTGTCTGTCTGGTCGCATTAACGGTGATGTCTGTTGGTCGCACTTAAAGGTGATGACTGCACCTGGGATTGTCTTCTAAAACACTGGCAATAATTCTTAAACCTGTCCAAAAAACAAGATTTTTATAATTCCTGAAATACATTGGTGTCGTGGTGCTTGTGAAGTTGTTTCTTACCTGTCCCCTGATTTTATGTAAATGAGCGGTCTGTCACCGTGGAAACATCCTCGACAGTAACAGTGGCCTATTTAAAACTCCTGCGTTTGTCTCTTGTACACATAACACTGCATTTAATTTAAACAGGACAATACAGTCTTTTATAGTAGGATTTATGGCCTGATGGACTATTTTGTTTCATGTGTAGAATTGTATTGTTGTATTGAGGAGTCGGAGGTACATGCACTTACTATGGATTTGTTCATATTTTCTTTAGATAAAAGTCAAGTCAATGTTATTTTTGTATAGCCCTAAATCACGGCAGCAGTCGTCTCAAAGGACTTTACAAAAGTTCTTGATTTGCTAACAAACAGATGAAATGCAATAATAAAACATGATCTGCACTGTACCTGAGCTGACGGAATGCCGCCCTTATCTCTTGATATAATGTGTAATCTTTGGATTATCGTGTAGCAGCAAAATAGAAAAATTAAAAAGGATGGCCCGTAGTTTATTTGCAATTAAATTTACTCATACAATTTGCATATTATGACTTAATATGGTCGGCACCGGTGCTGAGTGGATCAGCACTTTCGCCTCTCAGCAAGGAAGTCCTGGGTTAGAATACCGGTCAGAACAAGGTATTTCTGGGCAGGCAGTTAGCTCAGGGGGTGGTAAAGGGGGAAGCTTTGGCCTTGGCCAGAGGTCGTGGGTTCAAGCCCCAGCTCAAGACTTTCACCATCGACTCCACTGTCTGCTGTCGTTGTGTACTTGGCAAGACACATTAACCTCTGGGAACATCAGCCACAGTGGGGCTGCTGCGGCTGTAAAGTGCCAAACTGCCGTTGTGTCCTTAGGCAAGCAAACTGCTTAGAATCAATGGTCTGGCAAAACAGGCTTACAATGCAAACGACACAATTCACCAAGTCAAAGTTAAAGCTGCAGAGTGGCTTTAAGCTGCAAAAGGTGAAACTGTTTAGGATCTAACTTGTTTCCCAGTTCACTAAAGAGTTTGGTTTGCGCAAATATGATCTTGTTTGGCCTCTGTCACAGCTGTAGATAACCAACCAGAGCTTTGAAGCTGTTTAGGGCTGAGGCTGGTTAGTACTGTGATGGGAGACCTCTGGGAACATCAGATGCCACAGTGCGGCGGCTACGGATGGAATGTGCCAAACTGTTGTTGTG